CTCTGCAGCAAGGACATCTCAGCAAGCAACTTCCAAAATTCTCTCTTATTCACAGAATTTTGACTCTAAGCATGCATAAGGCTTATGAACAATTACAGAATGGAGACGTCAAGTTCTACTCCAGAGGTGAACTCCAAGTTAGAGACAGGGATGTTGTTCAGACAACTTTTGAGCTTTCTAAATTTATCAAAACTCATAAACTCAATGGCTATAACCAATTACTATAACCATCTTTCACGGTCTCCATCCATTTTTATGTAGATTTGTGGTAAGGGGAAAGACAAACATCTCACGGGAGAGAGCACAGTTCATGAGATAACTGGCCCTAACTACCGCATATGGAAGAATTGAGATCATATGATTATGTCTTGGTTTATCATCTCAATGACTATTGAAGTGGGAGAGAATTTTTTCCTATATAAAACTGTCAGAAATGTGAGAGGATGCAAGAGAAATATATTCCAACACTGAAAACACTACAAAGCTGTTTGAGAGCGAAACCATGCTTCATGACCTCCTTTAAGGAGAGCTAAACATCACCCGATAACACTTTGACAAAGTATTGGCTATAATGTGATATGTTTAAGACAGATGAGTGAAAATGTCTACAAGATGTCGTGACCATTTAAATTCATCATTGAGAAGAAGAGGACCATCAAATTCCTAATAGGATTAACTCGGAAAGTGGATGAGGTGAGAGGGAGGATCATTAGAACAAAGCCTTTTCCATCTCCATCTGAAGCTTTTGTTGAAGTCAGGAGAGAAGAGAACAGAAAAAAGCTTATGTTGACCGGAAATGTGGGTTCACTGAGCACTGAAAGTTCAATTGTGTACACTCATAATTTTTCCCATGCCTCAAAGGTCAAGAAGAATCGTCCCATATGTGATTATTGCAAGAAGATTGTACATATGAAAGACAAATGTTGGAATCTCCCTGGAAAACAAACTTACTGGAAATCTGGGTAGGGAAGAAACGATCAAGAGAAAAAGACAAATGTTACTACCACATTCAAAGGATCGAATGAACCATTCACCAAAGAGCAACTTGAGGTATTGAAGAAACTCCTTGGAGGTAATTCAGAGAAGCACACCAATCTTGTGAGACGCCAAGTTAATATATCCTTCTCTCATTTTGCTATTAATGGAAGATTCAGAATTTGGATCAGAGATTTAGGAGCCTTTGATCATATGATCAGAGACGTCAATGCTCTGGTCAACTACCAAGAGGTTTTTTCATCTAGATTGATAAGACTTGCAGACATATCATACTTAAACAATGTGGGAAAGGAGATGTGGAACTATTATATGCTCCACAATTGGATTGTAATTTTATTTTGATCAATAAACTTACTCATGTTATGAAATGTATAACTAAATTTCTTACAAACTCTTGTAAATTTCAGGCGGTGGAATCAGGAAAGGTAATTAGTAGTTCTGAAATGTATCAAAGTTTATACCTGCTCAAGAAAAATCTCTCTAAATATAATTGATTCCATCATCATGTCCCTCAAATTCCTAAGTTAGTTGAGTCGTCTGTTTTAAAAAAAAAATTTGGGGCGTGCTCAGGGCGCGCTCCAGGGCGAGGCATATGGATTTCCACTTTCGCTTCCAACCCACGAGATGGGCGTAAATTGCGTGGGACTTATGCCCGGGAAGAAGCAGAACGCCATATGCGCCTCACGGGGCATACACTCCGCCGCCTAAACGAGTAAAAAGGGTAAAAAATCCCCAATTTTAAATATCTATTTGATTTGAGCCGCACGCAGTCATCCCCACAAGCACTCTGCTTCCTCCATCTCACGCAGAGTTCGAACTCGATAGGTTTCCTTCGACGACTTCTTCCTTGCTCGACATCTCCTTCTTCTTCTTCTTCCTTCGACACCTTCTTCTTCCTCTTCCTCTTCCTTCCTCTCCTTCGCACAGTTTATTCCCATAGTCGCATCATCTGAATCGTCTTCATCCCGTTTGCATCGTCTTCATTCTGCACGCAGGCCATCTTCGTCTCGCATGCAGGCTCTCGCACTTCGCCTTCATCCTGTCTGCAGCCAGTGAGGTCTTTGATTTTTGTGGTGTATAAATAGTGAAATTGTATAAGTTTTATTCTTTAATTTATTGTTTCATTGTAATGAAAATATTTTGGTTATTGTTTTTTGTTATCGTTTGTGATATTTTGGTTACTGCTTGCGATGTAGCCTCATAAATTTGATTGAATATAAGATTTTTAATGTTTTTTTATGAATTTTAGTTGCAATGAGGCTACTGTAGCTACAATAATTTTCCTGTAACTGCAACAGTGAATCACATTTTTTTTCTCATGTTGCTCAAATATTTTCCTATTTCTATTGATTTACATCAGGAATTTGCTTTAAGCCCTTATCTTTTTGCTTTAGTTTTGGATGGTCTTACTGGACACTTACAGGAGGATGTACCTTGGTGTATGGTTTTTGTTGATGATATCCTTCTCATGGATAAGGCGAGGGGAAAAGCTTACGAAAAACTTGAATTATGGAGGCCTACCTTGGAGTCTAAAGGCCTTCGTTTGAGTAGAACTAAAGTTGAATACATGGAATGTAATTTTAGTGGTAGTATCTCCAGTGATAGAAATATAACTATGGGTGATCAAATTATTAAAAGTTGTGAACGCTTTATATATCTCAGGTCTATTGTTCATAGTGATGGTGATATTGATGGGGATGTTATTAGTAGAATTCAAGGTAGTTGGATGAAGTGGAGGAATGCTTCGAGCCTATTGTGTGATGGAAAATTACCACTTAGACTGAAAGAGAAATTTTTTTAAGATGGTGGTGAGGCCTTGAATGCTCAATGGAGAAAAGTAGTAGAAAGACATTTGAGCATTAGAACATATTGACACATGGACTCGTACTAAAATTCCTAAGGATAATAAGCCAGTGGATACAAATGTGTGTTTAACTTAAAATACAAAGCTGTAGGAGTGTTGAGAGATTCAGAGTTTTTGTTAAAAATTCGTAAAGCCTATGGAATTGACTATTATGAGACATTCACACTAGTTGCCAAATTCAAGAAGTCTTTCTATGGACAAACAATCACCAAGGGTATTGTTTGAATTGTTTGTTAAAACTATGAAATTCAATGGATATTCTCGAGCTCGAGTTGATCCGATATTATTTATAAAACACATTCACTTATTGTATATGTAGATGATATGATTATCATTGGTGATGATGAAATAGAATTTCTTAAAATCAAAGAAGTATTGGCCGCTGAGTTTGAAATCAAGGACCTAGAATATGGAGGTATCATGGTCTAAGAAAGGGTTTGTTATATCACAAATGAAATACATACTAGATATGTTAAAGGAAATATAGATGATTGGATGCAAACCTACTGATACTCCAATGGAACCCAACACGAAGTCTTACAGGGAAGAATAAAGTATATCTTTGGATCAGAGAATATGCAGAAGATTAGTAGAAAAACTCATATATTTGTTACATACCAGATCATATATTGCATATTCTGTCTGTATTTTGAGCCAACACATGAATTGCCCAAATGAAGAGCATTTGACGATGGTTTATAGGATTTTGAGATTTTTTTAGAAAACTCATGATTATAGATTAATTTTTGAGAATCAGAAACGGAGAAGTGGAATTCTATATTGATGCTAGTTGGGTTGGAGAACTTACTAACGGAAGGTCCACAATAGGTTATTACTCATATGTATGGGAAATCCTTGTTACATGGAGAAGTAAGAAGCATACTGTTGTTTTGAGAAACATTGCAGAATTAGAGTATAGGGAACTTGCCTTGGGGATATGTGAAAGGATCACGATTTAGAAATTGTTAAGAGAACTAGGATGTTCTTCCAATAGGCCTATACAGATGTTCTGTTACAATCAAACAACTATTAATATTGTTAAAAACCTTGTGTATCACGATAGTACCAAGCATATTGAAGTTAATAGACACTTCATCTATGAAAATGTCAATGCGGGAGTTATACAGCGAAGCTACATCCTGACACACCAACAAATTGATGTTTTCACCAAAGCCCTTTCTTTCAGCATCTTCTCAGAATTCAATACCAAGTTCAGTCATCTTCTCAGAATTCAATACCAAGTTCAGTCTCCACAACATCTACAACACAGATTGAGGGGCAATGCAGAAATCTAAGAAGGTTTGATCCTTTCTATATTTACCTCTCATGTGGGTCGACTACCACCTCCAATATGGGAGGATTTGATTGGGATATCATAGGAAACTTTTGATTTTATTTCCTTCTTTTTTTTTTTTGCTATTTTTTATTCAAAATTATTTCCTTTCCTAATTTAGGTGAGATATGTTCGGAAGTTTGTAAGTAATGAGGGATTGGTTTCCCGATATATACATACTCTATTTGTGAATAATGATTTAAGCAATTTTCATCCCCAAGTAAATTCTACAATATGCATAATTTTTCATAAAATTAAAAGAAGCTTGGGAGTTAGAATATTACTTTTATTTATAATTGTAATGAAATAATATAAATTGATGGGATGATGGGCAAAATGAAACTTAATGCAGTGCAAACAGATACTAAAACTGAGTTTGTAATAAGTTCATGCAAATCAAGCTATGCCACCGAAGCTCACTTCTCCAACCAGTTCCCTTTTCTTAAATACAAACTGGCCATTTTCGTGTTTTCATAATTTTAGAACACAACAAATTTGTATCCAACATTTTTGCTAATATTTTTTTTTAAACATAAGCACTTGTTTTCAAAAAACAAAATAAAGATCGGGAATTGGAAGCCAAATCAGCGTGACCGAAGTTGCCCATCTGAAATTTTATTTTCAGCTACTCGCTGCTGTAATCCACTTTAGAAGTTATGGTCGTTTTTTTGCCAGTCTTCAATTGTATAAAGGATCAATTTTCAATGAATACATTGGTTCCTGATCTGAGATTGTAGCATCATAATGGGAGGGCACACCTGTTGCTATTCGAGAAAGAATGGCATGTTTCATGGTTTTATTTCTCAGGAATATCGGAAAAGTCAGGAACCTGCTGTTGATAAGCTCAAAGAGCCAATTTTTGAGGAAATTGCTGCCAAGCTTGTCCAACATTATGAACTTAATTTCACTAGGAAGGATGTGGCTTCGCTTTGGTTTCTCTGTAAGCAGGTATGAGCTGTTTTTAGCTGTTAACTTTTCCAGACTTTTGGTTAGCCAAAGTTGAGTTTTTCTTCTATTTTGCAGGAAGCATCTTTATTGGACATTACTGACAAAGCTTGTAGCCTTTTTTCTGCTTATGAGGTAGGCTAAATTAATCCAATAAATTTCTAGTTAATGCTTTTTGCTGTTTCGACAGATTATCTGAGCACAACCTGAATAAATTTATGTAGTCGATGAATCATTTATTTGAAAATAATATAGTTTTATAAACAATATAGTTTTTATTTAAAAATAAATAAAAATTTACCCAACCATATTTGTTTTTTTTTTGTTTGGAAAAACATATAAATCTTAACAGTACCAAATGTATTTTTAAAAAATAGAAAATAGAAAACAGAACAAAAAGCAATGCAGCCTAAAAACAAAACAAAAATAGAAAATAGCAAGTGATCCTAAACATACCCTAAGTGAGATGAGACTGGCAGATTGTTTACTTTTATTTTTGCATTACTTGTTTATTAGATTTTGGCTTATAGAGAGGGGGGGGGGGACATCACAATTACGGTGGAGGAAAATAGAAGTATATAGTTTGGACTTGTATATTGGAGGACAGCCGATAAACCTGCGAGATAGATACATAAATTATTGTTTATGGATTATTTAAGGAAAACGATAGATCAAAGGTTATTTTTCTTGATTTTGCGATGCTAGAAATCTGCAAAAGAAATTTAGCTATTCAGACATGATTGGAGAAAGAGAATTCATAAATCTGAGCACAAATAGTTGGGGTATCGTTAATTTGATGATGATATTAATGAAGATAAAACTGGTTATTCTAGTTCCTGACCATGGCCATGCTGGTTATGTTCTCATTCCATGATACCACGTACTAGTTTTTCAACATGCTTGCCTAATAATTTAACCAGTTATGCTCTTATCAATTTGAATGACTGCCTACCTTTGTTCTTATTATAGTGGCACAAGTGCATTAAGACCAAAGTGTCAAAATAGTCTTTTGGCTTTTTACATGAGTATTTTCATGAGGCTATCTTAGTGAAATAGTTTATAAAATTGTCAAATTAGTCCCCATGTTCTTTTAATAGCTGCTGAAATAGTCATAAAAAATAACTATTTTAGCCCTCATTAAAAGTGTATGGGGACTAAATTGACACTTTTATATACTCTGAGACTAAAATGATCTCTGGAAAGAGTTATCAGAATTATTTTGACACTTTTCTCAATGTGTTTATAAATCTCACATTCTCTATTTATTGTGTGCATCCATGTCTTGAGTTCATATCCAATATCAGGTTGAATTACTCGAGTGGACCGATGACTTAGAGTTATTTATATTAAAAGGTTATGGTAAATCAATAAACTATCTCATGGGACTCCCATTGCTTCAAGATGTTGTTCACTCAATGGAAGAAGCAATTTTGGCCAAAGAAGGTGATCCAGACTTGGATATTATTTTTAAGACATTTGTTTGTGTTAGAAACATAAAATACATGCTGTTTTGTTGCCTCTTATGCAGAAAACCATAAGCCTGGAACTTTTGAGAAGGCAAGGCTCAGATTTGCTCATGCTGAAACAGTTGTTCCTTTCACCTGTCTTCTTGGGATTTTTCTTCAAATGCCAGGTGAAAGTATCTTCATATGGGATAAACCACTTGGAATTCTCCTTCCAATTTCATTTTCATTGTTTAAACTACAAATATTTTTCTTTTCGTATTTAGAATTTGAACTAATACGAAGGGACGAGCCATTAAGTCTGCCGCCAAAACCTCCTCAACCACGGACTTGGAGGGGAAGTGTCGTCGCTCCTTTCAGTGTAAATATTATGTTGGTTTTGTACCAATGTCCTGGCAACATTTCACATAGCGGTGCTGAAAGCAAAGGTTACAAAAGCAAGTACTATTTGCAAGCTCTGCACAACGAAATTCCAGCTCCCATGCCGGTAGGATTTATTATTTGATGTTAGTCATTTTCTTAGTTTAAACTCAAGTTCATGAATCCTTCTCTTCAGATGAATTTATTCTTAAATAGTTCACCGTAACTCAACTTTTCAAGGAGATGATGTTGATTCAAATTCAGATTTCTCACTGTTATATATATATATATATATATATATAGAATTATATGTATATAATTGGAGAGAGAGTTCAGTCGGACATTGGATGGTTTGTATGGGCCTTAGGGGAAATGTTGCTACATATTGTTAGATTCCCGGGTTGTTTACATAAGTACCACACAATTCTTATTTATTTACATGCCTAACACCCAAACTTTAATATTTACACGCGTAGCGCCCAAATATTTGATATCACATCAAAGTATCACTATCACCTCTTTTTTAAAAATGAAATACAAATTTTCATTCATAAGTTTATCACACCCAAGTGTTGTAAATATAAATATGATAATTTAGGTTTTAGATATGTAACATGAGAATTGTATGGTTATGTATGTAAGTTTCACTAGATTTTTTTGTTTATATCAAATTTTGTGCAATACTAATACGGCCATACAGTTAAAAAATACCTGTAGCAGTTGCTAAAATTTTGGTCTGGTGTTTTTATTGTGGATTGATTGATTTTGTTTATCAGTATGCTTTTACTCTATTATAGAATGCATGTTCATGATGTGGAATTTTGTTGCAGGGCTGTGGCTACCAGGATTTCTGCGATTTCGAGGTTTTCAAGGTATCTTCTTGAACACTTTCACTAGGACACGCTGGGTTTCTTCTCCTTTCAAATTAACATGTTGGGATCAAGACTGAGACTTGATTCAAATCACTGAAAGTAAATAAATTAGAAATAAAATTATTGCACAAATTACATGAAAAATGTTATTCGCATTTACATACGTAACACTTAATCAGGGGTGTCAGGGGTGGAACTAAGTTATGTCTAATTGCATATCTTGAAATTTGAGATTCCTCTATATAAGTAGTAAAATTTAATATTTTTTTAATGTAATTTATACAATTTAGTAATTTTGTCAACTCTCGATATAGTTTTTTTCCAATACTTGAAAACATTAACATTTTATTTTTTGCCCAACCTAATAAATAAAGTTGGTTCCTCCCCAGACGCATTTCTTATATATTTACATATCTAACAATTGAAGCTTTCATATTTACATACATAAGACACATATCTTTGAGAACACAAAAAATACCACTATCATCAACTTTTAATGCATATATTTTTAATACCACTGTGTTATAAATATAATTATCAAACTTCAGTTGTTCTATATGTAAATGCTTAAGAATTATTTTCAAAAAAAAAAATGCATAATAATTGTTTAGTTTGTACTTAAGTTTCCCAAAATTTTTATATAGATTCACCTAATTAATTGCTGCGATTTGTTACCACTTATTTTACTATGCATATCTCTCCATTATCAATTAAAGACGCCCTAAAGAAAAAAAAAAGATAGCAAGCTTTAAAATACAGTGAAGTCCCCAAATCTTTTTAGATGTTTCTTCGTATGATAATCTATTACATTCCTTAACTTTAACATAATTTGTTGCTTCATGCAGGAAAACATTGTCAATACTCATCTGAAGCAAAACTTTCAATCAGTCTGCACTGTAAAGGCAAAGGAAGATCTTCCACCAGAAAACTGTTCTATTGCATGCAGACTCCTGAATTTTATACGTAATTTCTTTCAAAGAGATTCACATGGCAACACCAAAGTTAACCGAAAGAACGAGTTATGATCTGTGGCACCTTACGCCCGTAGCCACATCTTTTCGGCGAAGTTTCTAATCGGAGCATGAATTTTAACATGGAGTTCTTCTTTATTTATTGAAATTTAGATTTTTTTTTTTTTTTTTTTGATTATTTTTTTGCTTTAATTTAGTCATCTTCCTCTGAATTTTTACTAGGATAATAAAACAAGAAAACATTTTCAGCTTTTTGTGCTTTGTTATGTTTTTTCAGTTTCAGGCCTTATGGCCTGCTTGATTCTGCGCTATTAAAAGTTGTACTTTATAAACCAATTATTTATCTTCTTCTGAACCATGATTTATTTCTAGTAAGGGGCGTTGGGGATAACTTTCTCATGGCTGTACATATCTGAATTATGTGATGCATTTTTTAAATCTATAATCATTTTAGTTAATGGAAGATATACATATACACCACTTAATTCCAATGCATTTGCATGTCTAAACTTAACTTCAATTTTTACATATATGCCACCTTATCTATGAACGTTTAATTAATGTTATCGTGTTTATTTTTACTGTCGGCCATTTACGTACATACAAACTAATATTTATATATTTAACATTAAAAATTTCATTATTATAATATAGAAGTGAAATTACCTTTTTATGAATAGGTAAGTTCGATGCACTTAAGAATTAAATTATAAGTACTAGATATGTAAATAAATGGGAATTAAGCAGTATGGAGTAAGTATTCCCTTAAAATCGAACTTTTGCTGATGTGGAGAGTCTTAGGCCCAGCTTCAGATACCCGATCGCACGGTTTTAAAATTCATATTGAGTACCAAGGCTTTTTCTGTAATATACGACAGCTAATCGGGTAATGGATATGATGTATTATTTTTTATTTTATAATGTAACCATACTATATAAAAATTAAATACCATACACATTTGAGTGCTGCTAAAAGTGGGTTTTAACTTTAAAGACCCGTGAAGCCGAGATTCTTTGTCACTGACTTGGGGGGGCGAAGGAGTGCAAGCGCCTCCGAGAGCAAGATGGTTTGAGTTGGACTGACTTTTTGGTATGATGAACTTGGTATTGTTGGTTGGGCTAATTTTTTTTAGTGCAGACGGGGTGATGCAAATTGACGACTTGCTTGCAAGGGATGCTGGCTAGAGTCTAGCCCAGGGGCCAATTGAGGCTGCTCCTGCACCGACTAGAAGTGAGGAGAATGTGGTTGACTACCCGGGTAGCCCTACTGTGGCCCACAAAAAGGCAAATAATGGACACAGGGTGTCCCCTAATTCATTGGCCCATTATTTGGATGAGATGGAAGAATCCTTCGCTTGTGCGACTAGGATGCAGTTAGAGGAGATAAAGGAGCCATGAGAGGAGTTGGCGGCCCTTTGATTGGAGCTATCAAACGTTCGAGATGTTGAGAAATGTAGGGTGAAGAAAAACAGAAATCGACACAAATCCATACGAACACGGAGAGATTTTAACGAGGTTCGGCAAAGATGCCTACGTCCTCGGGAGCGAGCGGCGAATTTTACTATTTTATAGGAGTTACATACCCATAGGGTTACACATTTATTTATAAACAAACATGTCATCGCTTCCCCCAATCCACTAATCTAATAGACACGCCTCTTCACACCAAAAGACATTCCTTTTTATTCCAGGAGACACACCTCTCCAATTCAAGATACTTCAAATTATCTGGTATATGAGTCATACCTAACAACTCTTCACCTTGGCAAATATCCAGTCCCTTAGGAGAAAATCTCCACATTGCGAATATTCAGCCTCTTAAGAAAAAAATCTCCATCTTGCGAATATTCAGCTCCTTAGGAGAAATACATCATTGAGTTTCTTACACCAAAGTGTGTTGGGAAACCATGCCAACTAGCAACTACAAACATTCAACAAGTTCAAGTAACCCAATAACTTATTGAAAATACCTGGCTTGGTCAACTTTTCTACTGCATTTTCATTCTATGATCCGACAAAGTGAACTCCACCTACAACTATACTCCCCAATAGTTTATAGATATTACCATCAGGTTTCATACCTCGTAATGTCTTCAAAATTCATTGTTGTGTCAACAAATTTTTCACCATTGTTTGTCACAATCTGAAGTTCTCTGTTTCATCGAACTTCATTATCTCAAATTTTGCACCAGACATTGTCATTTGAAATTAACCAGACATTGTTTGCACCAGACATTGTCATTTGAAATTAATCCTGCAGTGAACTTTTCCTGTCTTGTATTGAAACAAAACATACCACAAATAATTTCAAAGAAACCTGAAATTTTCTCTATCAATTGCAGCAATTTTCCTGCAATTTCTTGTGATTCGTGAATCAAATTTTTCACACGAAACACATTTCCTATTAGCACAAAAAATCAGTCCAAATACTGCAAACACCAGTCGAACTCCACCTGTCACAATTTCTCCTGCGACAAACCTGCGAACAATCCGCGAAAATTGTAAACTTCACCTGTCACAATTTCTCCTGCGACGAACTTATGAACTCCGTTGGTCGAACCCTACCTGTCGCAACTCCTCCTGCAACAGATTTGCGAACTTCACTAGCTGATCCTCTGTTCGCCAAACAAGGCTCCTTTTCGCGGAACCAAACTCCACCTGGCAAACTGCTCCATGAGAGCCTCTTCTTCGGTTGCGAAGAAACCCGAAATCCTTCGCATGTTCGCGCATGTTCTTGAAACTCTTGGCCCTACCCGCGAACATGCCTATCGCGCGAATCAAAAGCGTGAATTCCTCGAACACCTCTAACACCTGAAGCAGAACTCGTTGAACTGCCGCAGCCCTTTATCTGAACTGCTTCACACCTGTTCGTTCTCGCGAACCCAATTTGTCTGCCTTGCGAACAATCCGCAAATTTTTGTCTGACTTGCGAACAATCTACAAAATTTGCAAACTCCTCCGTCCACAGCAAACCACCGAAATCGTCGAACTCCCTAGGGAACGCCTTTCCACATATGACTCATGAACTGTTGTAAGGATTGGAAAACTCTTCTGTCCAACCTCCCGCTTCTCGTTCCCACGCCCGATCGCAAAAGGTCGCGACCGCGACCCTGCGGTTTCACGATAACCGTTGTTCCTGCCTCCAAGATCTCAAAACGACGTTGTCTTCTGTCTCCTTTAGGTTGTGAACAGAGAGCACGGTTCTCCTTCAAGTTTCTAAGTCACGATTGGTCTTCTTCTTCGGGCTTCCTAAGGTAGAAGGAAGGATAGTGCAAGAAGTTGTTCCTTGCTGCATAAAGAAGAAGAAAGAAAAAAGAAGAAGAAGAAGATTGTTCTCCCTTGGCTTTTTCTTGGTGACTTGTAGCAGAAGAGAAATTGAGTTTATTTCTCTTATAAGTTTATCTTCTTCGTTGCATCTCGGTGTAGAGTTTCTTCGATGTATCTCAGTGTAGAGAGAGGAAAAGAGAGAGAATAAGAGAGAGCAACGAAGTGAGAGTGAGAGATTTCTCTTGTAAGTTGAGGTTATCGACTGGTGTAAATTCCTCAAGTAGTAAAATCCTCTGCAACTCAGTGGACGTAGGCAATTGTTAGGTATGGCTCATATACCAAGAAATTTGGAGTATCTTGAAATGGAGATGTGTGTCTCCTGGAATGAAAATGAGTGTCTCTTGGTGTGAAGAGGTGTGTCTCTTGGATTAGTGAGTTGGGGGGAGCGAGAGTATGTTTGAAATTCACCGCTCGCTCCCGAGGACATAGGGATCTTTGTCGAACCTCGTTAAAATCTCTGTGTGTTCTTCTGGATTTGTGTCGATTTCTATTTTTCTTCACCCTAAATTTCTCAACACGAGAGACCCACTCGATGCTTTGGTTTAAGGTCGAGGTGGACCTGGTAGATAGGTTTAAGTTTGAGGGAGAGGTTTTGTATAAGAGGCTCCTTCGACGAGTACTTATCTCAGCCGAAGCGCCTGATGAAACACTTGTAAGGTATTTTCCCTCATAAAAAATTCCATTTTTAGTATATTGAAATAAAATTTTATGTATATTATTATTTTTTGTCTTGATTTTTTTGTTAATGTGATGAGATGTTTTTGAAATTGAGGAATGATTTTATAACGGTTCCGCTCCTAGGGCTTTTCACTGTCATACCTATAACTCAATATAGTTCACAATTTGATTAACTCTTAAGCTTCATCAAAGCAAGAGAGGAAGTTCCCTACTAAAAACCCCATCCTTTGAGCCCTCTGCCACAGAGCTAGACCAAGCCCGTGCCACCCTTCGATCGAATTCCTAGTTGGACTCCATACCAGAAGAAGGTGGCACTTCGAGGAGATTCTTTGGACTCCACTAAAACTTCTACAAGCACACAATTGAGGCCTCCCCTCTTGGGCGAAGGTATAAATCACCAACCTTGATTTTCGACTCGGTTTTACCAATTGTGAAGAGAATGTTTATTTCATGAGATATAACTGTATGGATGTGTTCGTCTCACCTAGATGAAACTTTAGGAACAAATACCATCTGATTTTGTTGAGAATCGAGTGAGAAATTAGGATTAGAAAACGTACGGTATACGGGTTAGGCCATTTGTGGACGATGACAAAGAGTCGTCCAATTGCCCGTGTATCGGATGCACAGACCAGATCGCGTTGGACGAGAAGATGGAACATAAAGCGTGGACGCATGGAGGCTGACTAAGAAGGTGACATCCAATAGAACGACGACGCGTGGAGCTTTGACAGGTCGCAGGTTGCGCTGGTGTTGAGTAGGATAAGTAGGAAACTAGTTATTTGATGATTTAAATTAATTCAAAAACTTCAAAAAATCATAATTTGGTGTAGAAAAATGATAAAAATAAAATAAAAATATTCTTGTGATCAGTAGACAGAGAGGAATCATGTGAATGAAAAATAAAAGGTACTTTCCTAATATTTATTTTTAAATTAATTAAATACTCTAAACCTTAATTAAGTTATATATAATTAAATAGTAATCATCATAATATGAAATTTGGAGGGTTTGTTCTTTCTGTGATTATGAGTGTTCCCTGATTTTGGAAAAATCAGGGAACACCCCTAACATGGTAAACCCTAATTTCCAAAGTTAAGTCACTATTTTTGCTTAAAATGATTATATAAATTAAAATAAAAATAAAAAAAATGTGAGATCTATGTTGGTAGGTTCACTGTGGTCAGAGGACCCTTGAAAAAATATATAGTGAGTTTAAATTATTAGGTGCACTATCTTAGCTAATTAAGTCATTAAAATCAATAAATAATTCAGAAAATAAAATATAATTAAAAAAATCATAAAGTTTGGTCAACATTGAAGAGAGTGAACAGATTAAGTTGGTGTAAAAATTTGAAGCCCATTT